TTCACTACCTCTGAGGATGCTTGCCATAGATGCAGGCGTATGGCCATATTACCCGAAAAAACCTACACCAATCCAGTGATTCCAGCCATGAAAGCCTTCGACAATACATTTATTATTTTCCTGCCACTTTGGCAGGAAAAACGAAATGCAAAGATACAGAATGGGGGATTCCTGGCTCGAGAGCAGTACGTGTGAAAAAGATCTTGGAGTCCTCGTGGACAACAAGTTAAACATGAGCCAACAATGTGATGTGGCAGCAAAAAGCCAATGGGATTTTGGCCTGCATCAATAGGAGCATAGTGTCTAGATCTAGGGAAGTAATGCTACCCCTCTATTCTGCCTTTGGTTAGACCACACCTGGAATATTGTGTCCAATTCTGGGCACCACAATTCAAGAGAGATATTGACAAGCTGGAATGTGTCCAGAGGAGAGCGACTAAAAGGATAAAAGGTCTGGAGAACAAGCCCTATGAGGAGCGGCTTAAGGAGCTGGGCATGTTTAGCCTGAAGAAGAGAAGGCTGAGAGGAGATATGATAGCCATGTATAAATATGTGAGAGGAAGCCACAGGGAGGAGGGAGCAAGCTTGTTTTCTGCTTCCTTGGAGACTAGGACGCGGAACAATGGCTTCAAACTACAAGAGAGGAAATTCCATCTGAACATGAGGAAGAACTTCCTGACTGTGAGAGCCATTCAGCAGTGGAACTCTCTGCCCCGGAGTGTGGTGGAGGCTCCTTCTTTGGAAGCTTTTAAACAGAGGCTGGATGGCCATCTGTCAGGGGTGATTTGAATGCAATATTCCTGCTTCTTGGCAGAATGGGGTTGGACTGGATGGCCCATGAGGTCTCTTCCAACTCTTTGATTCTATGATTCTATGATAAGCTTTCTTTTAAGGTATTAAAATATACATTTATTAAACAAAGAACATAATAAATAACAAAATACCATCTATACATTTCTTCCATAAGGAATAACAAGTCATGTTTGTAAGACGATGCAAAATGATGCAAGATGCTGGCATGAATCAAGGTGTACAGCTTCAGCTGGTCTGATGTAATGGGCCTGATTAACTCTGCCCTTCCATAACTGATATCTTCCCCCACGGTTTATATTGTTTTGCTGAGCCCTGCCATTGCTCCTATGCGAGAAATGCTGTATCTGCAACAACATGTGTCCGGGGTCACCCCGTCCGATGCTTTGGTTACAGCACAGCTATGTAAACTACAAACACTCTCTGAGTACATTTTGGGCAGGTCCGATAGACCTTATCTAAATCATATAGGAGGTGCAATATAGTTTCAGTCATACCTTCAGTCTCTCTTTCAAAACATTGTTCTTTCTCAAACCAGTCTCCAACCTACAGTTTTTGGCTCAGAGAAAGATGCTTTCCGATCCTTTATTAATCAGGAGAAGAGAATGCTAAAATGTAGAGAAATACATAGGTAAAAATAATCTCCCTCGTCAAATTCTGAGCTTCCAATTTCTTTCCAGACTGTATAGAATAAGAAATCCTGCATGCTCACCTTGGGGAAATCCTGTATGCTCGCCTTGCTTTCCTAAAAATCAATAGATCAATCAGAATGGCTGCTGGTGTGTGAGGAGTGTGAACCATGCCAGATGATACCATCAGAGGGGTGATGACTGACTATACAATGTTGCTGAGATTTTATCACAGTAGAAATATATCAATCAACCAAAAAACATTAGCTTACTCCTACTGAATCATTATATCTCCAAGGTTAAATCTCTATTCTGATTTTGAACCTTCTAGTGAACATGCACTCTGTCCAGAGCTGTCATTATTATTAATTTGTGTTGCCCACGGTGGACTTGGCTCTTGTTACACCTCACATGGATTACTGCAATGCACTCTATGTGGGGTTGCCTTTGAAGACTGTTTAGGAGCTTCAAGTGGTCCAATGGGCGGCAGCAAGATTTCTGGAGAACAAGCCCTATGAGGAGCGGCTTAAAGAGCTGGGCATGTTTAGCCTGAAGAAGAGAAGACTGAGAGGAGACATGAGAGCCATGTATAAATATGTGAGAGGAAGCCACAAGGAGGAGGGAGCAAGCTTGTTTTCTGCTTCCCTGGAGACTAGGACACAAAGCAATGGCTCCAAACTACAGGAAAGGAGATTCCACCTGAACATTAGGAAGAACTTTCTGACTGTGAGAGCTGTTCAGCAGTGGAACTCTCAATCTTGAAGTGCGGTGGAGGCTCCTTCTTTAGAGGCTTTGAAACAGAGGCTGGATGGCCATCTGTTGGGGGTGCTTTGAATACGATTGTCCTGCTTCTTGGCAGGGGGTTGGACTGGATGGCCCACAAGGTCTCTTCCAACTCTGTGATTCTATGATTCTATATCCCGAACAGCTTCAGATTCTATGTGATATGTGTAATATATAATTAGCTATTAGCTAATGCTCGATTGGTATGTGTTGTCATCCTCCCATTTATCAAACTCTTTTGTTTTGCCTATGTATTGGTACACATCTGAGGAAGAGCAGATGTGCAAACCCTTGTGTTTTGTCCATGAATTGGAACACATCTTAGGAAATGCGATTGTGCAAATGCTATTGATACTATCAATGATTTAATAAACATTTCCCTCATGGAACTACTGGGTGAGTCAAATAGGTAACTATTCCCACCCAGCACCAACATGGCACTCAGATTTTCTGTGGCAAGGAAGAAGAGGGCTTTCTGGTTCAAAGTCTTCTCTTCTCATGATGGTCTGTGACTTGAGCTGTTTAGAGCATTCTACAGTTGCTTTATACTATTTCTAAAGGCAGTTTCTAGAGGACAGGAAGCAAGGATTCACATGCTATGGAGTTGCATGGAGTAAATAACTAATTTCTTTAACATTTCTCCCTAAGGATGTATGTGTTTTATGTGAAGTCTTGGCTCTGCCTTCTCCTCTCCTCTGCTTCAGTTCCTCCTATTATAGGTTTTCACTATAGTGTAGATACCTTCCTTTGTATACATTTTGGGTGAAGCTTAAAATTCCCCCAGAGGCCAGCGTTAGTTGGTCTATTCCACTTGCCTGTATAGAGCTCTTTTGCTGGACTCCTCCTTTTTCTGCAGAGCTACAGTGACAGAGGCTTGGGAATTGTCTGGTAACTCTAGGCCCAAGTAATCCAAAACAGGCATCCTTAGCACCTGCATTCAGCAATATTCTTATAACAGCAGTCCAAAGGACAACAGAAGCTTACAACCAGCTTAAGCTTCACAAGAAAGAAGATTGAGACAGTTTATAACCATCGCTTTGCACTAGAGGCAGAAGACTCCAGAGAGATGACTCCACCCAGGACTACCTTATGGTAGTCCCGGATGGAGTTAACCCTTTATTCATCTTGTTTGCAGTAAACTCATTTGGGTTATCTCGTCACCTTGCCTAAAGTGTCTCTGTTCGCTTAATCTGCAAACCATCTACCCACCAATCACAGAGCAGCTGTCATTTCACCTCAGCAGTATTAGAAATGAAAGCTGAGCTATGTTTGAATGCTATTGGCATACCACTCATTCCAACCAACATGGTGTATGAGTATTAACAACTTCATTTTCCAATATCCCTGCGTTCACTATGACTACCAATAAAGTGCAGGGAAAATCTTTGCAAATGTGCAGTTTTGTTGTGACTCAGATGGGGCTTCAGAGTGACTCTGACGAGGATGATGGGATTCAGGTTCACAATCAGGTTCAAAATGTTCCTGTTGTAGACAATGAGGAACAGGGTGTGCAAGTTCAGTTTCCCACAGCGGGGAATGATGTATTTGATACTGAAACTGGCCAGGTGCAAATTGACTCAGAAAAGGAGGACAGTTCTCACACTGACAGTAGGCAGGAAGGCAACCAGGCTGATACCAAGGAGGAACCTGACCTTGATGAAACGGGAATCTTAGATTGGGCTGACCGTTTGGAATTTAGAGTTCAAAGGAGTGTGAGAATAGCCAACAAGGAGAAGATCAGAGGCCAAAGAAATGGTTTCATATATTGCAAAGGGTATTAAGCAGTGTTTGACAAGGGTTTGAAAACAAACCTTTGTCAGAGCAACTTCTCGCTCAGCCAAGCAGCTTGTGCTCGTTTGCCTGGATTACCTTACAGTTCTTGTGTCCATGGTCTTGGGATTTTGTCATGTTCTCATGGGACTTTGTTTCGTTGGTGCCATTTGGAATTCTGCTTTACAGTGCTATGTTTATTGATCTTTGGAACACTATTTGCTTTTTAATAAACTACAAAGACATGCAGTTCTGGTGATTTCAGCAAGGTGAATCTATTCTGAGGTGCAACAGGTTTGAATTTAGAAAACAACTGCTTCTCTCATGGGCACTTATAAGTCACATGCTCCAGATTCGGTAAACCATCAGATCTTTATATTTATGCAGAAAATGGACAAATCAGAAATGTAGTCAATCTACTAGCTTTACAACAAAAAAGCTTTCTGTATAAAACCTTTTTTTGTTTTCTTTCCTTTCATTCCACATAGACACAGCAACGCAAGGAAGGGTATTGAATTGAATTGTGGTTTCTCAGTGATGTTTGCAACAATAGTTTTATTTACTATCTCATTCATTTCATATCAGACTGAGCCACAGTGAAGTGTGGTTGGGTTTAGCTAGTAAGAAATACAATATAAGAATGAAGATTGCCAAGAAAGTCAAAACTGCAATTTCCGCTGGCATTCTACCATTGGTCACCATGTTGCTGGTTAGGCACTAAAAATGTTGACCTTGCTGGGTTTAACACATACCCTCTCTATTGGGACGCTGTGAAAATAAGAAAGCTGTATCTTTTCTTTTCTTTTTTTAACACTGGAAACACTACAATATAATCCCAAGTTGAATCAAAGCAGAAAAATTGAAATCAGCCGCCCTGAGGCTCTCTGTGGAGGTCGAGATAGGACGGGATACAAATGCCCCAAATAAAATCAGGTTAATTAACAAAATCTGCATTATAGCCAACTTCCGCAGCAAGTTCATCTTCATCCCGTCTCTAGCTTTCATGTACATCTAATAAGGAATTGCACAAATGTCATAGGGTTGTGGAACCATGGCTAGGCCTCCAGTCTTAGGTTCTATGTTGACCTTTGCTCCTTTTGGAGATTGGAATTTAAATGTCTGCAGGAGGCTGGTGAAGAAAATGAAGAGTTCAGTCTTTGCCAAACGCTCCCCTAAACAAATACGATGGCCTGCAAGGAGAGGAAAAGGAAAGTTAAGCTCTGAGTTTGTTTACATGTTTGCATGCTTAGTCTTTTCCTTGTTTACTTATTCCTGAGAGGCACACAAACAGGGCACATTGCCCTCCAGTGTTGAATGCAAAATATGACACCATTAAGGCTAATGGAGAATTACATTCACACCTTTGGGAAATTATGCCCTGGTTGTGGTGTGTCATTTATAGAGAAATTTGAGGGGAACTTCAAAAAATATCCTAAAAATCAGTTGATGTGTGAAACATTCTGAAACTTGGAGGGCTTAGCATAGTAAATGAGTAGCAAGTTTTATCACAATAATAATACACTTTAGTAATAAACTTTATTTATATCCTGCCACCATCTCCCTGAAGGTACTCGGGGCGGCTTATAACAGCACTCCAGAGTGCAACATTATGTTGTAACTCAGAGGAAGCTTCACCTTGCTTCCAAACACCACCACACAAGAGCTGTAGTTTTATAGTTTATTGAGGAAAAATCCAAGTCAAAATAAAGAATAAGCATTGCAAAGTTCCAAAACCTCAGGTTAAATGCAGAATATAGTTCCAAATATCTGCAGGTAAAAACAGGAGACACAATCCTATTGACAAAGTTCAAACCAGAGTACAGGTACAAGCAATGAAACAATTGCCCCAATGAATCACAATGCAAGAAATCCCAAGCGTTCTGCTTCCCAGGCTAAGATCCAGGGTAGGACTATCTGTGGAGGTGTTTTAGAGTTACTTTCAGAGAGGAAATCCAGTTAGTAACTTCTGTGGAGGGAGAGAGAAGTGTTCCTGTGTAACTAAGACTGAACTGCTTAAAGTAACCACACGCTTTTTACGTCAGTACTTTGAAACAGCTAAGCTTTATACTTGAATTGTTCCAGTTCTCTTAAATAAACACCATTGTTTTGTTGTTCACAACATCTGCCTCATGTGTGCCTCTGTGGGGGAAGTTGTAAAAGCAGTTTCCTGCAGCAAACAAGAGTCTATGGTGGCAGCGTATAATTTAAAGAACAACTATTTTAGTGTTACCTCAGAACACATGCCTGAGGGCTAATCCAACGCACTTCTGCCTAAGATACTTCCAATAAGCCAAGGGCTTATCAGTGCTTTTAAGTTTGGTGGTGTTTAGAGGGTTTTCAAAAGATTTTTCAGCCAGAAGAAAGTTCCAGTCTTCCTTACAGAGATTAGATCGGCATCCTCCCTTCTTTACTTTAGGAAAAAACTGAAATCATGGTTTTGGAACCAGACTTTTGGCTAGCAGGCACAACGGCAATTTGGACATTGAATTGGACCACATGATGATTGTTATGATAATGGAAACGGCTATTATTGTATAATTAAGGCTATTGTTTTAGTCTATTGTGTTTTTATGGTTTTATATTGTTGTTATTTTGTGATATTATGGCATCGAATTATTGCCAGTGTTAGCTGCTCTGAGTCCCTCCTCGGGAGTTGAGAAGGGCAGGATAGAAATTTTGGAAATCAATCAATCAATCAATAATCTTTGGGTGATATTCTTGTTTTTCATATGAATACTGATTGCACTTACCAACTCCAAAAGGCATGAAGGCTTCTTTACAAAAGAAATTTCCGTCTTTATCTAGGAAGTGGTTTGGATTAAATTGACGTGGTGTCTCCCACTGTTCAGGATCATACAAAACAGAAGCAACATCTGGGATGACGACAGTACCCTGCAAAAAGAATACGCACATACATACATACCAAGACAAATAACAAGTGAAGTTCTGTTTTGAGTTACTTCTTAACTGTAGCTGTAATGATACCGGCTCCTGGAGAGTTTGGGGAACAGTTGTACCAAAAAGGAACATTTCCGAGCTCTGATTTAGGTTAAATAAATCACCATGGAAAATTAGCATGACCACAGTCCAATATCTCCTCCACATAGTGTAAAGTTTCAACTGGAAATCTGTGATAATGACTAGATGATGGAATTGGACAATGTTTTTAACAAGGAGGCGCTAATGATATTTGGTTTTATTGTTTCTGTTGGGGTTTTATATTGTATTTTAATATCTTAAATTGTATTTTTTTATATTGTGAGCATTGAATTGTAAACAGCATTGAGTCGCTAGAAGGCTGAGAAAGGCAGTATACAAATACAATCAATCAATCAGTCAATCAATAAAGGGTTCTCCCATTATCTGGTCAACAAAGCTGACAACAAAGACACAAGAGGATTGATGAAACCTTGAGTTTGCAGTGGTATATACTGCAAGGAGTAAACAGCTAATGAGAGTGATTCGTGGGCAAAGCTTCCAGATGCATCTAAAGCAGTGGTTCTCAACCTGGGGGTCGGGACCCCTGGGGGGGGGGTCATAAGAGGGTGTCAGATGGGTCGCCAAAAGACCATCAGAAAACACAGTATTTTCTGTTGGTCATAGGGGTTTTGTATAGGAAGTTTGGCCCAATTCTATCATTGGTGGGGTTCAGAATACTCAGATTGTAGGTGAACTTTAAATCCCAACAACTACAACTCCCAAATGTCAAGCTCTATTTCCTCCAAACTCCACCAGTGTTCACATTTGGGCATATTAAGTATTGAGTCCACAGTGCTCTCTGAATGTAGGTGAACTACAACTCTAAAACTCAAGGTCAATGCCCACCAAACCCTTCCAGTATTTTCTGTTGGTCATGGGAGTTCTGTGTGCCAAGTTTGGTTCAATTCCATTGTTGGTGGAGTTCAGAATGCTCTTTGATTGTAGGTGAACTATAAATCCCAGTAACTATAAATCCCAAATGAAAGAATCAACCCCACCAGCAGTCAAATTTGGGCATGTTAGGTATTTGTGCCAAATTTGGTCCACTGAATGAAAATACATCCTGCATATCGGATATTTACATTACAATTCATAACAGTAGCAAAATTATAGTTATGAAGTAGCAACAAAAATAATTCTATGGGGTCACAACATTAGGAAGGTTGAGAAACACTGGTCTAAAGATACATTATGTAAGTTTCAGGGGATTATGGGGCGAGAGCAGTGGTCCTCCAGATGCTTTGCACTTCAACTCCCAGAAATCCCAGCCAACTTACCAGCTGTTAGGAATTGTGGGAGCTGAAGTCCAAAATACGTGGAGGACCAAAGTTTGAGAACCACTGAGCTAGAGAGAGGGGGGGCAAGGGAGAACAAAGGCCAAGGACTGGAGGGCCCTGGTTGTGGATGAGACAGACACAAGAATCTGGATCCCAGTTTCCAAGGATAGCTGAGATCCACAAGGCAGCTAGTGAGCATTATTTAGTTGCATTAGGGATTTTTTAAAACATTCAAATGGGTGTGATTAATATTGCTTTTCAACTTTGTAATTCCTTATTATTTTTAAAGAGGATTGCTTTCGTGTAAAAGACACCTTTCTCTGTCAATTCCTTGTTTAGACTCCCTTTGTAAACTCTCCATCGCTTGCATTTTCCTTCCATGTAGCTTTGGCTCATTGGACATGTGCCTGGAGGATCTCCCCAGGAATCAATCTCCCATTAGATTGTCAAGGGGACTCAAATCAACGGCTAGTCTATATTCTACAATCCACTCTAAACACCTTTGCAGAAGCATATGAGAAGCTTGGCCTGTCATTGAACATCGAGAAATCCAAAGTGCCATTCCAGCAGTCACCAGCCAACCCCTTTCCAATGCCAGAGATACAACTTAATGGTGTAACATTAGAAAATGTTGACCATTTCTGCTACCTTGGCAGCCACCTCTCTACCAAAGTCAACATCGACACCGAAATACAACACCGCCTGAGCTCTGCAAGCGCAGCATTTTTCCAAATGAAGCAGAGAGTGTTTGTGGACCGGGACATCTGTAGGGATACTAAGGTGCTTGTTTATAAAGCTATTGTCCTCCCAACCCTGCTATATGCCTGCGAAACGTGGACTGTCTACAGACGTCACATGCAACTCCTGGAACGATTCCATCAGCGCTGCCTCCGGAAAATCCTGCAAATCTCTTGGGAAGACAAGCGGACAGACGTCAGCGTGCTGGAAGAAGCAAAGACCACCAGCATGGAAGCGATGGTCCTCCGCCATCAACTCCGCTGGACCAGCCACGTTGCCCGGATGCCCGACCACTGTCTCCCAAAGCAGTTGTTCTACTCCAAACTCAAGAACGGAAAACGGAATGTTGGTGGACAGGAAAAGAGATTTAAAAATGGGCTCAAAGCCAACCTTAAAAACTCTGGCATAGACACTGAGAACTGGGAAGCCCTGGCCCTTGAGCGCTCCAGCTGGAGGTCAGCTGTGACCAGCAGTGCTGCAGAATTTTAAGAGTCACGAATGGAGGGTGAAAGAGAGAAATGTGCCAACAGGAAGGTGTGTCAAGCCAAGCCAACCCAGACCGAGACCGCCTTCCACCTGGAAACCGATGCCCTCACTGCGGAAGAAGATGCAGGTCAAGAATAGGGCTCCACAGTCACCTACAGACTCACAAGAATTCTGATCCTGGAAGAACTTAAGTCCATCCAGTCCAACTCCCTTCACCAGGGCAAGAAAACATAAAGCCCTCCTGAGAAAGAGCCATCCAGCCATATATATAAATAATATGATTCACACACACGCACACACACACACACATGTTTATGACAGATATGGTACCATAGGTTTGAAAGGGACCCTTAAAGAAGGACAATTATATGTTGCATGTTCCAGAGTAGGCAAAGCTGACAATCTCCACATCAACACTGACAAAGAAACAACAAGAAATACTGTTTACCCACAAGCATAAAGAAATTACATATATTTGAAACCAACATTTCTCATTACTTTATTTTCCAGATCACCAGACTGGGCCACAGCAACGCGTGGCAGGGGACTGCTAGTAATGATATAATAATAATGATAATAATATTAATAATGATAATAATACACAAACCCCCCAACGAAACTTAACCAAAATTCCCATGCCATAACACAACCCACAAGGTACAAACATATCTACTCAAAATGAAAAACAACACAACAACACACTCACAAAACGGCAAAACAACAAAACTCAAAAAAAACCCAACGAAACTTAACCAAAATTCCCATGCCCATAACACAACCCACAAGGTACAAACATATCTACTCAAAATGAAAAACAACACAACAACACACTCACAAAACGGCAAAACAACAAAACTCACAAACCCCCAACGAAACTTAACCAAAATTCCCATGCCCATAACACAACCCATAAGGTACAAACATATCTACTCAAAATGAAAAACAACACAACAACACACTCACAAAACGGCAAAACAACTGAGCATGCACATTGGTGCCCAGCCGCAAGTTCCCTGGCGCGCGCACACAGTCTTCGTTCCCTCTGCGGAAGCCATGCCCACTCCAAGCCCCGCCACGCCGCTTCCCGCACACACACACCCCCTGCCGCACGCACACACACAACCCCACGCTCCATCACTCCCCCCACCGCCGCACACACACACGCAACCCCACGCTCCATCACTCCCCCCGCCGCACACACACACACAACCCCACGCTCCATCACTCCCCTGCCCCAATCTTACCTCCTTTTACTTCACGCCACCTCCAAACCCCACCCCGCCCCTTCCCGCCCTGTCAAAATCCAGGAAAGACAGGAAGGAAGGAAAGAAGGAAGAAAGAGAAAGGGAGATAAAGAAAAGGGGGAAGGAAGGAAAGTTAGAGAAAGAAGGAAGAAGAAAAGGAAAGAAAAGGAAAGATGGAAGGAAAGAAAAGAGAGACAGCAGAAGAGAAAGAAAAAGGGGGAAGGAAGGAAAGAGGTAGAGAAGGAAGAAATGAGAGACAGAGAGAGGGAAAGAAAAAGGGGGAAGGAAGGAAGGAGAGAAGGAAAGAAAAAAGGGAATGAAGGAAGGAAAGAGGGAGTGAAGGAAGGGGGAAGATGTAGAGAAAGAGGGAGGGAAGGAAAGAAGGAAAGAGAGAAGGAAGAAAAGAGACCAGAAGAGAAAGAAAAAGGGGGAAGGAAGGAAGGAGAGAAGGAAAGAAAAAAGGGAATGAAGGAAGGAAAGAGGGAGTGAAGGAAGGGGGAAGATGTAGAGAAAGAGGGAGGGAAGGAAAGAAGGAAAGAGAGAAGGAAGAAAAGAGACCAGAAGAGAAAGAAAAAGGGGGAAGGAAGGAAAGAGATAGAGAAGGAAAAGGAGAAGGAAAGATGGGAGGGAAGGAAGGAAGGAGGGAAAGAAGGAGAGAAAGAGGGAAGGTTGGCCATAGCAACGCGTGGCGGGTAAAGGTTGTTATTTCTATGATTATTATGATGCTATTATTCCTATGAGACCCTTTTAGGGGGAATGGGAGAGGTGTCAGGTCCCAGAGGCAATGCATTGCATTATTGTTATTGTTATGATGGTGGTGAAATAAAAGGAAATAAAAAGTGAAAGAAGGAAGCAAACAGGGAGGGAAGAAAGGCAAAGGAAGAAAGGGGGAGGGAATGAAGGAAAGAGAAGGATGAAACCAAGTAGTGAAAGAAGGAAAGAAAGAAAGAGGTAGAGAAGGAAGAAAGGAGAGAAAGGGGGAGGAAAAGGGGGAAGGAATAGGTAGGTACCTCTCTTTCATAATAGTCCAGATATCTACCTCAACTTTGATAAGTTTTACTATAGGCCACAGCAACGCGTGGCAGGGCACAGCTAGTAAATAATAAATACCTTCTTGATGAGAAAGCCTTGCAAGGTGATATCTTTTTGGCATTCTCTGAAGGATCCAACCAGCAGAATATTAGATATCCTCTGGACCTCATGAATGACTGCATTCGTATAAGGCAACCTCTTCCGATCCTCATAGCAGATCTTGTGACAAGGTGGAAGGACATCCCGAAGTTCCTTGTGGATTTTCTCTAAAGCAAGTCAACACAAAACCACTTCAATTGTGAGCTTAAGAAGAAAAGGAAAGCATTATATTGCTCAGAATATTCTAAATGACTTTGCTGATAAATTAATGTTTCAGCGCAGTGGGTTAAAGCACTGAGCTTGTTGATCGAAAGGTCGCAGGTTCGATTCTGGGGAGCGGCATGAGCTTCCGCTGTCAGCCCTAGCTTCTGCCAACCTAGCAGTTCGAAAACATGCAAATGTGAGTAGATCAATAGGTACCGCTCGGCGGGAAGGTAACGGCGCTCCATGCAGTCATGCCAGCCACATGACCTTGGAGGTGTCTACGGACAACGCTGGCTCTTCGGCTTAGAAATGGAGATGAGCACCACACCCCAGAGTCAGACATGACTGGACTTAATGTCAGGGGACTACCTTTACCTTTTTTATGTATAAATATTAAAAATAGAACTTCCTGTCTATAAAGAAAGTAACTTGATAAAATGCCAGTTGATTCATGTTCTGGTCCATGCACACAAACAGTAATGGAGATCTAGAATAACGGAATCTCAGAATTTGAGAGACCCACAAGGACCACCCGATCCAACCCTCCGCCATGATGGAACGCACAACTAAAGCACAACCTTTAAAGATGTACATCCAACTTCTGTTTAAAGATCTCCAAAGAAGGGGAGGATCAACTGCCCTCTAAGGCAATCAAGTCCACTTTTGAAAAGCTTTTAAATAAGATTTTCCTAAACATCTTGCATTATTTATATATAAATAAAAATGTGGGATTAACATAACTAAAAAACCACTAGGCGAATTGACACAAAATTTGGACACAATAAACCTATCAGGCCAATGAGTGACCATCACTCATACAAACACTGAAAAACACAATGGGAGAGACTTGAAAAGCTAAAAACTCAAAAAGATGCTACAGCGCATGCGCAAAAACGAATATAACTCAAAAACCACTGGACGAATTGACACAAAATTTGGACACAATAAACCTATCAGGCCAACGAGTGACCATCACTCATAAAAATACTAAAAAACACAGCAGAAGAGACTTTAAAAGCAAGAAAAAGCTACAGCGCATGTGCAAAAACGACTCCCCCGGCAAACAAAACACACAATAACAAATCCACAGTCTCTTCCGGACTACAGCTCCCAGCATCCCCTAGACCTTTTATGAGAGGAGGATGATCCAAATGCACTGCTTCTAAGATGCAAGCTTTCTTCTCCTTGGATTTCTTTGAGAGCATCCCAATCCCTGCATATTTCGTTTCCTGTTCCTGGCAATCCTTCAGATAGGTAAGATAGGTAGAGGTAGACAGGTAGGTAGATTGATCAGGAGGACTGCTGGGAGTTGCAGTCCAAGAATTGGTAGAGAAGGAAGAAAGGGGAGAAAGGGAAAGAAAAGGGAGGGGAGGAAAGGAAGAGGAAGAGAAGGAAGGAAGGGGATAAGAAAAAGGGAAGGAAAGAGAGAAAGAAAGAAGAAGAGAAAGAGGGAGGAAAGATTGGTCACAGCAACGTGTGTTGGGTACAGCTAGTACTTCATAAAACCTTATTTGCTTTCTTACTAAAACAGGACATTTGGATTTTTAAAATGTACTGTACACACACATGTAGAAGTCTAGAAATTACAGTCAAAAAAACAGGGTCAACTTATCTACAGGTCATTGTAAGTAGAGTAGGTTAACTCTTTTTTTTCAAGGAACAATCTCCTTCTTTGAGAAAAGTAGTGAAAAACTAAAACTTAGTCCAGAATGTGCTGGTACGGCTATACCAGGTGCTTCAGCTTCATTTTCTTTCTATTGAGTGTTTGCATATATTCCAAGGTTCCATGCATTTGCAACAAGGTGGCTTTCCTTGGTTTGCAATTATAGGGCCAATGACCTATCTATCATTGTTAAGTTTTGGTTCCGCCCCTTTTTCCAGGGCTCTGGGAGGGAAAGGGAACCATTTTTTGTTCAGTTATAGTGAAAGCTTAGCTACAGGACGTGGATCAGCTCCATCTGTAGACAAGCTTCGTTTCTCACAGCATCCCGGGAAACAGAAGCATCCGGGGGAAACAGCTCCACATCTTTCGTGGAAAAGATCCAAAAGAACTCCAGCTGGAGAATCTACAAAGCCTTGGCTGGTAGGTCTACTCAGGTAACCAGAAGCAATTGGAGCCGGGAGTAGAGCCCACACCAGCAAGCATAGAAAGTAGATTGCCTGGGAGGGGTTAAAAAGGGTTTTCCTTTTAAAGAAAAGAAACAGTTCACGAAGCCAGTTACCTGTCCATTTGGGCAAGTTAAGAAGCATTTGTTTGATTTGTTGAAGATCTGAGAAGTGTTTGATTAAATTGTTGAAGATCTAAGCAATAATAAAGGACTTTGTAAAACTTTTCAAGCATCTAAAGACTTTTGTATAGGAAAATCCTTAGGGCCTCTCAGCCAAGGCAACCCGGCTTCCCGCTGGGCACAAAGAGCATGTCCTGCTCAAAAGACAATTATAGGCCCAGCGCGTGACAGCACACAGAACCTTTAAAAACACACAGGTTCTCTCTGCTCCCTACATCATGGTGCAGTTTCTAGTCTTTTCAAATGCCTAGGCAGGAAGATGGCATTGGTGTTGGCCAGGGTCAACCTTCTTCCTGGAGCACCACTGGCACTTTTCCTTCTCCATAGAATGGCCTTTGAATCATAAAAAATCCAAAACTTGCCCTTCATGAGGTTGACTCACCTTGGATGTCAGGGTAAGCTACCATGTAAAGCAAGGCCCAGAGAAGAGTTACAGATGTTGTTTCTGTCCCTGCCGCAAAGAAGTCGGTAGTTAGGTGGACCAGGTTTTCATCATCAAACGTACTGATGGGGTCATCTTTGGTCTGTTGAAAATGAAAGCGTGACATTAGAGTTAAAGTGATTACAGCTCTTTTGCATTATATGATGGTCAGAAGATGAATCTGACTTTTATATGAAATGGTTGGGGCCAAAAGTGTTCCATATTTCAGGGTTATATTTCTTTAGATTGCATATGCATATTTGCATGTACATAATGAAATATCTTGGAGGTATTGGAGGTGAAACCCAGGTCAGAAAATGAAATTCATTTACAGTTCAGAGACACCTTACGTGGACTCTCTTAGGAACCAGCTTCCCCATGGACTGGGAAAAGGGTTACCCATAAGAGACATATGAATATATTTCTGAGGTTCTTTTTTCCAAATTAATGTAGGTCCTTGGTCTCTATTTGTTCTGTCGCCCCTGGGCCTGTATTTGGTTGGCTTTAAGATAGGATGTGTAACCTTTGCCCAGCGGGAAGCCAGGGGGCCCAAGGAGAAATTCTCAGGGGCTTCCTCTACAAAAGAATCTTCAGATGGCTTGAGAAATTCAACAAAGTCTTTTATTAATGAAATCAAACAGAAACTGCAAGGCTTTCTTGATAAAGTATTGGATCTCTCAATCTTGTCCACAGAGGACAGGCACTATCTTCAATAACTTTTCTTTAAAGGAAAATTCCCCCTTTTTAACTTCTCCCAGGCTGACTAAAATCCAACCCTCGCTGATGCGTGCTCCACTACCGGGCCAAACTGCTTCTCGGACGCCGAGTGGACCGACCAGCAAGGCAGTGGATGTTCTCCAGCTGGAGTTCTTTAGTCTTTAAGGCTGTTTTCCTGGAGTTCTTAAAGCTGTTCTCCCCTGGATTGCTTAAAGCTGTGGGAATGCTTCCCCGGCGTTCTTTCCCTGGAGATTCTTAAAGCTGTTCTCCCCTGGAGATTTTTAAAGGTTGAAGCCTTTGTACAGGGGAAGTAACACACATCCTATACATTGGTTAACCTAGCTTAGACTAACTAACAAAATGGCTCACTTCCCTCCAAAGCCCAAAAAGGGGGCGGGACTAGGGAACCTAATAATAATTGACAAGCAATTGACCCAATAACTGCAAAGTAAGGAAAGCCATCTAACTGCAAAGGCATAGAACTTTAAAATACATGCAGCAATCAACAAATAGCAAGATAAGCTGGAGCTCCTGGTACAACTGTCCCAAAACACTATTCTCTGTGAATGTGGAAAGGGCAACTTTAGAGCCACTGTAATATCATTTGTTAGGCCATTATCTACCTGAACCGGAGCTTGCACAGAGAATATAGATGTTGCATACAGTCGCACTCCATGAGTCTTATGCAGGCATTTCCAGAACAGTTGTTGTGTACCGTCAAGTCATTTCTGACATGGCAAGCCTTCAGAAAACCTATCTGTCATATGGTCTGCAGTTGATGGTGGTTGGTGATGGAAGGGTTAATGTGAGTATTAGTTCTAGAGGGTTTGGTGATCTGTAAGTGGGAGTTCATGGGTAAAAGCAATTAGGGGTGGAGGTGTGCAGGAGATGGGTTGCAGCTGGGTATTACTGGATTTAAGGAGCTAACCTTGGGATTGATCTTTGAGAGAAAGGTATCTGTTATATTTTGGTGGTGAATGCTGCTGGTGTTTTCCCCAAGGTCTGTTGGATCTTTTGGTATCCTGAATCTTGGAATCCTTGAACCTTTGGACTGGCTTTTGACTACTGCATAGACTCTGGACTTTGTTTATTGAACTTTCTGCATTTGACCATTGGACTGGACCCTTTTGACTACGAAGTTATTTTTGCTATAAGTTTTTGTTTATTCTGTAGCTGTGTGCTATCTTTGTGTTTTATATTTTGGACTATACAAACAACCAGCAAGTAAGTGCTATTTTAATTAAACTATTTGTTAAAACTAGGAGTTTGATTCATCTCTACCTAAACAAGGTAGAGCCCTAGCAACGTGACACTATCACAACATTTTCTTGGGAAGATTTGTTCAACGGGGATAACATTTGCCTTCCTCTAAAGCTGTTAGTGTGTGACTTGCCCAAGAATACCCAGTAGATGGCCAAGCTGAAATTTGAACCTTCACTCCCATTATCCTAATCCAATGCTCAAGCCACTACTCCACACTTCTCTCCTGCTCTCCTGCTGATGGTTCTTATGGATACATCCAACCCTGTAGATACATGGTTTTGCATGTATCAGAATTAGGTGGTTTCTTTTAATTTTCTGGCTCCACCTACAACTCCACTTAAAGCTGTCACTTACTTTTTCTATCTGTTCCAAATAGTAGTCAATGAAATCCTGTGGGTCAACGGGATCTCTAGTCTTCTCATGGCTCCTTATCTCTTCTCTTATGAACTTGTGCCCCAGTTCCAGGTAAAAGAAAGCCTTCTGGTGGGATCCTGGAAGGAAGCGCATCAGGCTTGGGAAAAGATCATAAGCCTGGAAAGAAACAATGATTATATTAATTTATTGGTCATTGTCATGTTAACTGCAATCAACTGGAGAGTAAAGAACTATAGCTACACTGTCTGGTACAGTGGACAAATGCTGTTTTTCCTGAGGACCAAATGAGTCATGTAGTGATAAAATCATAGAGTTTGGAGGAGTTTCATGGGCCACTGAGTCTAACTTCTTCTCAATACAAGATCTCCAGCTAAATTGTTCCCATCAGGTAGCTGTCCAGCTTTTTCAAAGAGGTCCAGAGAAGGAGACCCCACCACCATTACAATTATTTCCATTGCCAAACTGCTCTTCCTGTCCACAAGTTACTTTTAATGTTCAGGTGAAACCTACTGTCCTGTAACTTCAAGCCAGTAGATCTAACCCTGTCCTCTGAGGCAGAAGGGGACTTTGAGATTTTCCAACATGGCAGGGGATTGGATTGATGGTGCATGTGGTCTCTTCCAGATCTATTATTCTAAAAACCTGCCCTCTCTTCTCTGCCCTTTAAGGAGCACAATGATATTGCTCTTCAATCTTCTCTTCATGGAGCTGAAGATGCCCAGTTTCTTCTACCTCTCCTCTTATGTTTTGTTCTTCACACAGATGGGCCCCTATCTATAGGACTGTAAACCATCAGGCAGAAGCAGGACATAACCTCAGATGGCAAATGTGAGGGAGAGTGGGGGAGCAATTTGCTGAAGGACACGGTTCAATCACTAGTGATAAAGAAAGACTCATTTGTGTTTTGTTCATTGATATCATTAGGATTGGTGTCACCTTGTGTGGTATAAATAGTTTTACACACACACCATGGCTCTCCTCCGATACCAGACCATACCATAATATTGTAGCTAAAAAGACAGACTATTTGATAAACTTTGACTCCACAACAAACCAAGATATTTGTGGTCATTTCGTTTATTTATTTATTTGCGATATTTGTATACCACCCTTCTCAACCCTGAAGGGGACTCAAGGCAGTTCACAGTTCACAGAACAAGCCACGAGAATAAAGATGAAGATCCACCCAGAGAAAAAGTGTTCTTGCCATACGTCAAGGGAACCACTGACCGCATAGGGAAGCTGATGAGGAAACACAACATACAAACTATCTACAGACCCACCAAGAAAATCCAACAAATGCTACGTTCAGCAAAGGACAAGAGGGATCCTCTCACTTCTGCAGGAGTCTACCGTGTACCATGCAGCTGTGGACAAGTCTACAAAGGGACCACCAAACGCAGGAGCATTGCCCAAACAAATATCAAGGAACATGAAAGGCACTGCAGACTACTTCACCCAGAGAAGTCAGCCATAGCAGAGCACCTGAGGAACCAACCTGGACACAGCATATTATATGAGAACACAGAAATGCTGGACCACTCTCACAACCACCATGTCAGACTACACAGAGAAGCCATTGAAATCCACAAGCATGTGGACAATTTCAACAGAAAGGAGGAAACCATGAAAATGAACAAAATCTGGCTACCAGTATTAAAAAACTCTAAAATTGCAACAGCACAACAACAGAGAGGAAGCAGGCAGGGACATCTAATTACCTCTCAACAAAAGTTTGCCCCAGGCACAGTCAGGCCATTGTATGCTAATCAAGGTGGTCAGTTGAAACATTCACACCTAGCTCCAGCAGACAAGAGTCCTTTGTCTCACCCTGGTCATTCCACAGATATATAAACCCTTTTGCCTAGCTCCAACAGACCTCACTACCTCTGAGGATGCTTGCCAAAGTGCAGGCGAAACGTCAGGAGAGAATGCCTCTAGACCATGGCCATACAGCCGGAAAAAACCTACAACAAGCCAGCAGTTCACAGTGTTCATGTTATGTTCATGTGTGCGTTTTCAACAAAATAACTTACAATTCGAAAAGGGCTGGGCAAAAAATGAAACATAAAGTCAACTGCCATGATCATCTCCTTGAATTTTTCATCATCATAAGAGAAGCGATGTCCGAACACCATGGCACTGATCACGTTGGAGACTGAGTAGAAGATGGGGAACGATGGGCTCATGGGCTTTCCTGAAAAGAATTTACAAATGTTATCATCTCTAACCCTGAGACATATGCTTTTTACCATAATAGCATCCAACTAGAAAATGGATCTTATAAATAAGGTTTGATTGGCATGAGGGAAAAACTTGCAATTTCAAGAAGGACACTTACCCCAAAAAAGTGCTTGATTTTTTTTTTTTTGCACTACTTGTATCGTGTGAAAAGCTAACAATGGTGCAATGACTGGAGACACTTTTATTGATGACCCATTGGCTCTCATTCTCCTCCCCACCCACATTGTTGATGTCTGCCTTCAAGTGAAGCTTCACTTCTCTATCCTCCTTCTCAAAGGAAACATTGCAATGGACAGAGTGTAAACATGGATGTAATGTTTCTAGTTGTGCCTTCAAGTCATTTCTGACTTATAGTGACTCCAAAATAAACCCACCATAAAGTTTCTCAGCAAGATTTCTTCAGAACTTTGATTTCACAGAGGTAGAGAAAAGATACAAAGGACTGTAAGAATGACAGGATACAGGCTAAGCCAGTGGTTCTCAACCTGTGGGTCCCCAAATGTTTTGGCCTTCAACTCCCAGAAATCCTAGCAGCAGGTAAACTGTCTGGGATTTCTGGGAGTTGTAGGCCAAAACACCTGGGACCCACAGGTGAGAACCACTGGGCTAAGCATTCCTAATGCATTCTCCGACCATCCCATGGCTGATTTTTGGGAAAATTCATATCTACATATATATTCATGATATATCTTGGAGATGGGACCCAAGCCTGAGCAGAAAATTCATCTATATTTCACATTTAGGCAGTCTGCAAGTGACAGACATCCAACTTAAATACAACTGCTAGTTAAGAATGGGGGCGACTTGGGCTCCCCCCTCCCCCCGCATGGGCCCAGCTGGAGTTCAGCCATAAGAAGAATAACCGGGGAGTTGTAGGTTTTCCGGAATGTCTGGAGGGGCACTTACAGAGGCGCTTCTGCGCCCCTGGGGAAAAAAAGTGTTCCGCAACGGCTTACTTGGCGTAATGGATGAGCCGCCCCTGGGGGCGAGACAACAGGAAGTGAGAAGAAATCTACCCCTTGGAAAGGAAATCCACTCTCGAAAGAGTTATTATCATGGGGAAAAGGTGTCTCCACCAAAGCTTTCTCACCAATCCTTGTTTCCACAGCAAGCTAGAGGGCACATCCAGGCAGTCCCTTTAACACAGGAGCTCCTGCAATTAAAAGGGGGCTGTCCGGATAACGTCCTAGAGAAACACAAATTAATTGACCACAAACCAAGAAAACCCAGGTTTGGGAAGAATTAATTTGTTAGTGGGTTTATTCTCCCCCTTTTGGAAGGTGTTGGATAAACCCACTACTTCTGCTGAATGGACTATTCCCTCAACAGTTCTGGGGTAGTCCAGACTAGGGCATGGTTTTCCAGGCTAAATTAGCCCAGAAAACCGTGAGAACACCAACCCCCTCAACCAAAAAGCCCCCATAATAAAAGAACTTACCAGCCCCTATTAGAGTTGTGGCACAATTTTCCTCCTCTCCCCGCTTTCTCCTGGTGCATCATTTCTATGTGGCAGGAGAGCTCTGGCACCACTCTAATGGAGGCCGGGTAAGTTCTTTTAATATTAAAAGGGCTGGGGGGGGGGGGGGTTGGGAGGGGGGTAGAGTGTCCAGATGTTTTCCTGGCAAGTTCTGGGAGACCATCTGGACACCCACCACAGAAAGCAAGCACTTTCTGGGGGGGGGGTGTAGATTAGGACCCAGGAACATTCACATTTCTAAAACGTAAATATTCTCGGATTAAAGGGCTGTCTGGAAGCACCCAAAATTTTCAAAATCTGCTATAAAATGATAATCGGCTATAAGATGAAGAAACTCAATCAGCCAGTCACACCCAATCTTTGTCTCCCTTTAGAGTGGCAAAGCTATTCTGCTTTGTGGAATCTGGCCGGCTGATTACAAATAGAGTAGATGGCCAACATACTCACATCATCATGTTTTCATCTTCAACCCATTGGCCCTATTGGCTGGTTTGTCAATTCCCAAGCAATAACCAGACAATGGGAATTCAAACATCAAAGAAGTGTGAAAGCTTTGTTACAGGCAGATAGTGGAAAGTATTATTGGCAAGTGTTATTAAATGCCTGACGATCTACTAACAGGGTGGAGGAATTGCTTGGGCAAGTTACACCTCGTACACTGAAGGTTTACACAATGTGTGCTGGTACGGCTGTACCAGGAGCTTCAGCTTCATTTTCTTTCTATTGAGTGTTTGCATATATTCCAAGGTTCCATGCATTTGCAACAAGGTGGCTTCCCTTGGTTTGCAATCACAGGGCTAGCCACCAGTCTATCATTGCACTGGGATTGTGGCACAGCTGGCTGGGTGTCAGCTGCATTAAGATCACTCTGACCAAAAGGTCATGAGTTCGAAGCCAGCCCGGGTTGGAGTGGGTTTCCAACCAATTGTGTGTAGCCTGTTGTCGCCCTTTGCAACCCGAAAGACAGTTGCATCTGTCAAGTAGGAAAATTAGGTACCACCTTAAAGTGTGGGGAGGCTAAATTAACTAATTTATGAGGCCATAAAGAAGACTCCAGCAAAGCATTCCAGTGGGGAAGCATGCAGGGAATGCGGAACTACTTCATCAGCGTGGCAGCTGGACGATGAAAGTGACAGCTCCCCTGGTGACTAGAAAAAGTTAAATAGCCTCTGTGTATGTCTGTATATGTTTGTATGTCAAAAATTGGCATTGAATGTTTGCCATATATGTGTACACTGTAATCCGCCCTGAGTCCCCTGCGGGGTGAGAAGGGCGGAATATAAAAGCTGTAAATAAATAAATAAATAAATAATTGTTAAGTTTTGGTTCCACCCCTTTCCCCAGGACCATGGTAAGAGAGGGAGCCATTTTTAGTTTAGTCTTAAAGTGGAAAGCTAAGCTACAGGACGTGGATTAGCTCCATCTGTAGAAAAGCTTCATTTCCTACAGCATCCGGGGCAGAAATTCTGGGGAAAAACAGTCCCAAAGCTCTGGCTGGGAGCTTACAGCCTCTCAGCTTTACAGCATCTGAGGGAAACAGTCTTAAAGTTTCGGAAGAAAACAGTTTTACAGACCCAAAGAACTTCAGCTGGAGAATCTACATAGCCTTGACTGGTAGGTCTACTTAGGACCCAAGATGCAGATTGGAACCGGTAGTAGAACCCACATCAGCAAAGCTTAGACAGTAGATTGCCTGGGAGGGGTTAAAAAGGGTTTTCCTTGTTAAAGAAAGAAATAGTTCTCCAAGCAAGGTGCCTGTCCATTCTGGGGCAAGTTAAGAAGCATTTGTTTAATCTGTTGAAGATCCAAGAAGTGTTTGTTGTTTTATTGAAGACCTAAGCAATAATAGAGAACTTTTCAAGCCTTTTAAAGACTGTGTATGGGAAAATCCTTGAAGGCCTCTCACCCGTGGCTCCCTGGCTCCCCGCTGGGCACAAAGAGCACGTCCTGTTTAAAAAATCAATTATTACAGGCCCAGCGCGTGGCAGCACACAATGTTGTTAACAAATATGGGTACACTGGACTATCAAAAAGCAAAGATGTCACTATCTCAGCCACCCATATGGATAATTTTGGATTTTGGAATATTTTGTATTTTGGAACTTCAGATAAGGGATACTCAATCCATTGCTTTGGGGATCTTCTGTATTGATGGTTAAAACTGCTTTTCCAAACTCTGGCATTGATCAGTTTATAATCTGACCATTATACAATGACTTTTTGTAGTAGAAGTGTAATGTCTCTGACCTTTTTCATTGAGGAAGAAATCGGTGAGATGCCCGGCCTCCTGTTGTATTCGGTACTCCAAGCCTTTCCTTCCCAGGCCTAAATTCCGCAGAACCATCAAGCTAAAACGTCTCTGCTGCTTCCAGATGTGGCCAGTTGCAAACAGAACTCCTGGTGTTGTGGGAAAAAATAATAACATTTTGTTTAGCTGTTTTGTTCAATTTGCACCCTGTTTTTCCTGTCAAGATGCAAAAGGATCTTGTAGCACTTTAGAGACTAATTGAAAAAGCAAGTAATGCCTTTTCCCTCCTTTCTGGAGCCCTCCCTTTTCCATAAGACATACAATCAGATAGCAAAGGAGATAATGCTACAGAATCCTGGGATTCGTAGTTTGGTAATGCACCAGCACTATGGCCGAGAAGGCTAAAGACTTTAGAAAACTGCAACACTTCCAGTTAGATCAGTGGTTCTCAACCTGGGGGTCGGGACCCTTGAGGGGGTCGCGAGTGGGTGTCAAAGGGGTTGCCAAAGACCATCAGAAAACACAGTATTTTCTGCTGGTCATGGGGGTTCTGTGTGGGATGTTTGGCCCAATTCTATCATTGGTGTGGTTCAGAATGCTCTTGATTGTAGGTGAACTTGAAATCCCAGCAACTACAACTTCCAAATGTTAAGGTCTATTTTTCCCAAACTTCACCAGTGTTCACACTTGGGCATATATAGTATTCGTGCCAAGTTTGGTCCAGATCCATCATTGTTTGAGTCCACAGTGCTCTCTGGATGTAGGTGAACTACAACTCCCAAACTCAAGGTCAATGCCCACCAAACCCTTCCAGTATTTTCTGTTGGTCATAGGAGTTCTGTGTGCCAAGTTTGGTTCAATTCCATTGTTGGTGGAGTTCAGAATGCTCTTTGATTGTAGGTGAACTATAAATCCCAGCAACTGCAACTCCCAAATTACAAAGTCATTGGGTGTATTTGGTCACTGGTCATGTGACTTGGGGGTTATGGGGGCATTTGCCCAAGACCTTTGGAAGGCGTAAGTTAGAGAGTGCCGTTTCTTCAAATTTTATTTCTGGACCAAAATTGTTCCAAATTTGGTCCAGTGACTGAAAATACACCCTGCAGATCAGATATTTACATTATGATTCTTAACAGTAGCAAAATTACAGTTATGAAGTAGCAACGAACATAATTTTATGGTTGGGGGTCACCACAACATGAGGAACTGTATTAAGGGGTCGCAACATTAGTAAGGTTGAGAATCACTGAGTTAGATGGAGGATGCAATGAAAAGTGAGGCTGCACACTTGTCAAAAGACTTTGTAGAACGGAGCTCCTTAAAGGCTTTGTTAATAGAGTGTTTTGCTGATTCATGCCTTTACAGTACGTATTTGGTAAAAATACAACATGCATCAACATGTCACTGTGAAAATCAATCAGCGTTCCTCACTCTCTTTGCTTCTGTTTCGCCATTCTCCCTTTCATCTCGCTTGCAATCTTACTTTATGTGGCAAGGAAGGTAGAGGTGTAGAGAAAGGGGGAAAATGTTGCCACCAGTGAACCAACTGGTAGTTCCTGTGGTTTGACATGAATCCAAATGTCAAGAAATGTAGAACTGGTGAAGTTTTAAGGCTGGTCCCATTTACATCTGTAATTGCTAAGTCTACCATGGCTGAAAACCAAGTACTGAGGCTATCAATAATAAAGCATTAGGATTCACTGGTGGAGCATTCCAAGCTATTCACTAAGCTACAAATCCCATAGGATGATGCCATGACAATTAAACTGGGATCAAATAACTTGTAGTATGAACGTATGCTGATGACAACGTCGTCTGTGTGCATTCAAAAGAAGATCTACAAGCCACTCTAAACACCTTTGCAGAAGCATACGAGAAGCTCAGCCTGTCATTGAACATTGAGAAAACCAAAGTGCTGTTCCAGCAGTCACCAGCCAACCCTTCTCCAATGCCAGAGATACAGCTTAATGGTGTAACATTAGAAAATGTTGACCATTTCCACTACCTTGGCAGCCACCTCTCCACCAAAGTCAACATTGACACTGAAACACCACCATCTGAGCTCTGCGAGTGCAGCATTTTTCCGAATGAAGCAGAGAGTGTTTGAGGACCGGGACATCCGTAGGGATACCAAGGTGCTTGTCTATAAAGCTATTGTCCTCCCAACCCTGCTATATGCCTGCGAAACGTGGACTGTCTACAGGCATCACATGCAACTCCTGGAACGATTCCATCAGCGCTGCCTCGGAAAATCCTGCAAATCTCTTGGGAAGACAGGTGGACAAATGTCAGCGTGCTGGAAGAAGCAAAGACCACCAGCATTGAAGCGATGGTCCTCCGCCATCAACTCGCTGGGCCGGCCACGTTGTCCGGATGCCTGACCACCGGCTCCCAAAGCAGTTGCTCTACTCTGAACTCAAGAACGGAAAATGGAATGTTGGTGGACAGGAAAAGAGATTGAAAGATGGGCTCAAAGCCAACCTTAAAAACTCTGGCATAGACACTGAGAACTGGGAAGCCCTGGCCCTTGAGTGCTCCAGCTGGAGGTCAGCTGTGACCAGCAGTGCTGTAGAATTTGAAGAGCCACGAATGGAGGGTGAAAGAGAGAAACGTGCCAAGAGGAAGGCGCATCAAGCCACCCCGACAGACCACCTTCCACCTGGAAACCAATGCCCTCACTGTGGGAGAAGATGCAGATCAAGAATAGGGCTCCACAGTCACCTACGAACCCACCCCCAGGACACTGAACTTGGAGGACCATCATCCTTGGACTATGACGGATCACCTAAATAAGTAAGTAAGTAAGTATGAACGTACCCCAGGGCCACATCTGTGTGGATTCGGCAACTCGGCCTGACTCAATATGCAGCATTTCTCAACCTGGGGGTCAGGACCCCTGGGGGGGGGTTGCAAGGGGGTATCAAACAGGGTTGTCAAAGACCATCAGAACACCTGCTAGCTCAAGCCTGAACAAAAATGTAACAGTAACCAAAAGTCCCAGGCTCATCCAGCTCCCCAGACATTGCCCAACCAATCAGCTTCATGCATTTTATTTTCCAGTTGACACACACACATACATTAACTCATTCCTTGCATGCTCCAACAGTCTCTTCCCGGGATTTATAGGATGACGCAGGGCTTACCTTTCCCCTTCATTGTATCATTAACAAAGGGCGTCATGGGCCTGCCAGTCATCTCTTCAGAGTTTGTGACCAATGCTTCTTTCACCGCATGGAACCCATTCAATACAATCATAGGTTTGTGCCCAAACCACATGGTGAAGATTTTCCCATAACTCTTTGACATCTGAAAATGGGGTAATGGCAAGAAAAGTAACATTTTCAACATAAGCATTGGTGGTAACAATTGTAACATAACTAATCACTGAGTTTAACGTTGGATATATTTGAAGAAAAAATCAGATGAAATGGAAAATATGGACTGTCACACAAAACCTGCTATTCATCTATAACTGAGTTATCATTGATAGTAGATACATACCAGTTGACTTGTTCCAATGTAGCACTTATATACAGTAGTGCAACTGTATCATACTCATAACTCAAAGTTCAGGCATTACTGCTGTTTCTTAATTTTTCATTTTCATTTTAAGCTCATAGAATCATAGAGTTGAAAGATGCCACAAAAGTCATCCAGTGCAACCTGCTGCCATGCAGGAAAAGCACTATCAAAGCACCCCCAACAGATGGCCATCCAGCCTCTGTTTAAAAGTCTCCCGACTTCCAGGCAACCTATTCCACTGCTGAACAGCTCTTACCATCAGGAAGGTCTTCCTAATGTTTAGATGGAATAATTTTTCCTGTAATTGGAACCCATGGCTCCATTGTGTCCCAGTCTCCAGAGCAGAAGAAAACAAGCTTTTCCTCTCCTCAACGTAACATCCTTTCAAATATTTAAACATGAATATGATGGGTTGTTGTGGGTTTTTTCGGGCTATATGGCCATGTTCTAGAGGCATTCTCTCCTGACATTTAGCCTGCATCTATGGCAAGCATCCTCAGAGGTAGTGAGGTCTGTTGGAACTAGGAAAATGGGTTTATATATCTGTGGAAAGATCAGGGTGGGACAAAGAACTCTTGTCTGCTGGAGCTAGGTCTGTCCACATTGTCTGAATGCCCAATCACCGTCTCCCAAAGCAATTATTATTATTATTATTATTATTATTATTATTATTATTATTAAACTTTATTTGTACCCCGCTAGCATCTCCTGAAGGATTCGATGCGGCTTACACAGGCCAAGGCCTCAAGACACAACAAAACAATATAATCTAAGCAAATCAACAATTAAAAACAGAATAAAGCAAAAATAAACAACAGGCAAAAAACAATACATTAAAACACAATAGAACTGGGCCGGGTCAGAGTAATGGGTACAAGAATTAAAAGTGCTGATGTGACAGGAGGTGTGTATAAGGCTTCTAGGGCAAGTGTGATGTGCGATGTGTGGCAAACATTGGTTCTAGTAAAGTGCTTATGGGACTTGGTAATGGAGATTTCCTAATCTGGGAAGGCGCATCGGAAAAGCCAGGACTTCAAGTTCTTCCTGAAGACTGCCAATGTAGGGGCCTGTCTAAGATCTTTGGGGAGGGTGTTCCAGAGTCAGGGGGCCACCACGGAAAAGGCCCTGTCCCGCGTCCCCACCAAGCGCGCTTGCGATGCAGGTGGGATCACAAGCAGGGCCTCTCTTCAGTTGCTCTTCTCTGAACTCAAGAACGGAAAATGTAACATTGGTGGACAAGAAAGGAGATTTAAAGATGGGCTCAAAGCCAACCTCAAAAACTGTGGCATAGACACTGAGAATTGGGAAGCCCTATCCCTTGAGCACTCTAACTAGAGGTCAGCTGTGACCAGCAGTTCTACAGAATTCAAAGAGGTCCGAAAGGAGGGCGAAATGCCCAAACATGCCAAGAGGAAGGCACGTCAAGTCAACCCTGACCGAGACCGTCTTCCACCTGAAAAGTGATGTCCTCGCTGCAGAGAACATGTGGATCAAGAATAGGGCTCCACAACCACCTACAGATTCACTGCCAAGATACCAGACTTGGACCATCATCCTCAGGTTACGAAGGATCACCTAAGTAAACAAAGAAAGTAATATTGCAGGTCATGGCCTCCAGGCTCCGCTGTCCGGCTTGACCGCATTATAAACCGAGGGAAGCTTTGTCAGCCCCAAAAAGGTCTTTAAAACTCAGCTTATCTTCGAGTATATACGGTAATAGCAAATCTAGGTGGAATGGCACAAAAAGATTCCTGTCAGCAAATAAATACCTTTGTGAATGTTTCTTGGTTGAGTTTCAGATCCAAACGCCAGACACTCCCAATGAGAGGGAAAGGAATTGGTCCTGGCGGCAACTCCCGACTTGCCCATCTCAGCTTCAGAAACTGCCAAACCAGGAGGCAAATGAGCGCTGCGGCAAGAAGTTGACTGATTCCCCACATCTTCCTTTTGGTTTATGGTGCTGGTTTTGTTCCTATCTTGAGCAGAGTTGCCTGGTTTGCTACTACACCTGCCATCTGCCCATTCCCAAATGATTTCAGCACAAACTGATGATGCCAATTAAAAAAAAAACCCAGAAAGGTGTGGAAGGGAAGGATGTTGCAAGGATTGTTTTTAACGGGATAATCTGCTATAAAATGAGGAAACTCTATCAGCCAGTCACACCCGATCTTTGTTGTAGAGTCATAAAGGTATTCTGCTTCACGGAATCTCTGGCCAATGCCAGCTGATTACAAACAGAGGACATGGGCGACATATTCACATCATTATGTTTTCATCTTCAACCCAATGGCACTATTGTCTGGTTTGTCCATCCCAAGCAATAACCAGACAATTAAAACATCAAAAGAGTTTGGAAACTTCATTCCAAGCAGATGTATTTTTGGCAAGTACTAAAAGCAGAAAGGCGGCAAGGCAATCCGTATTATTAAGTGCTTGATGACCTTCTAAGAGGGCGGAGGAATTGCTTGGGCAAGCTACACCTTATCAATGTCTTTCTTTGTATTGACAAAGATACCCTACGGTTTGAAATCAGCACTTACATCTGGTACTCTGACCTAATAATTGCGGTGATAAATTTAGTGGATGGCTGGAATTCAACATTAAGAGTCATACGGGATAATCCTGTCACACCCCTGACCTGTGTCTTACTTTCCATCTTCCACTGTGGGCGTACCTGGGCCTTCACATCATCATCTATATAAATAAAAATGTCATGTTCGTTTGTGGGATTAACAGAACTCAAAAACCACTGGACGAATTGACACCAAAGTGGGACACAAGACGCCTAACAACCCAATCTATGTCCTTCACTAAAAAAAAAAATGATTTTGTCATTTGGGAGTTGTAGTTGCTGGGATTTATTTATTTATATTTATTTATTTCACAGTTTTTTATACCGAGCTTCTCAACCTCATTGAGGGACTCAGCCCGGTTTCCAGCCATAAAAAACATATACACTCATTAAAATATCATATATCACAATTACAAAAACAACTTTAAAAACACTATATATAAAACTACAGTGGTCAGTCGTCCTATTAAGATGGATCTACATCAACTTCCATCCAGGGTCCTATGGTGTTGTCTCATTCATCGAAGGCCTGACTCCACAGCCACGTCTTCACCCATTTCCTAAATGTTAGGATGGATGGGGCGATTCTGGCCTTCAGAGGGAGAGAGTTCCAGAGTCGTGGGGCCACCACCGAGAAGGCCCTGTCCCTTGTCCCCACCAGGCGCGCTTGCGAGGCCAGTGGGACCGAGAGCAGGGCCTCTCCAGATGATCTTAATAATCTTGATGGTTCGTAGGGGAGAATACGTTCGGAGAGGTAAACAGGATTTATAGTTCACCTACAATCAAATAGCATTCTGAACCCCACCAACATTGGAATTCAACCAAACTTGGCACACAGTTCTCCCATGACAAACAGAAAATACTGGAAGGGTTTGGTGGGCAGTGTCCTTTGATTTTGAAGTTGTAGTTCACCTACATCCAGAGATCACTGTGGACTCAAATCAAATCAAATCATTTATTTCGGTCTTTGACCAGCACAGGAAATAGAGTCACATTTTCATACAAACATGGTATGTTTGGTACATTAAATATATATATATAACTACTGAAGCACAATATGGGTGAGAGAGCAGAAAGGAAGGGGAAACAGGGTAAAAACATACAATGCCCAGATCCATCACCAAATTGTAGATTCAGAGAAGAAGATTACTGGACACACAGTTAACTTTTGGGACTAGTCATTCCCTGACGGATTTTGTATGCTGCTGCACAGAACTTTGCAACATTGTAGGTTGTAGCTGAATTAATATCTGCAAGTAGCAGGGAGGTATAAAATTGTCCTGAATGGCCTGGGTGTTTGTATAACAGAGGTAAGATAAGCCTGGCACAGATATCCCTGTAGAACGGGCACTGAAGGAGCACATGTTCTATTGTTTCTACATGACCCGAGTCACAGGGGCAGAGCCTCTCTGGGAAAGGGATCTTCCGGTAGCTGCTGGGAGAGCGTGGCATCGAGCCAGAGTGAAAGCCCTTCGATGAATGGGAACCTCTAAGTTGGTTAAATATGCCATAGGGAGGCAAGATATCCGCTGTCTTCATCGATAAGGAAGGTTGGAACCGAAGCCAGATCTAGTTGTCGCTCTGTGTCTGTGATATGTTGTTTAATAAATGCTTTGGCTTGATTGTAATCCATAGCGAGTAGTAGACCTGGAGAAAATCCCAATGAGGAGATTTTTGATGCTACCGCCTGCTTCCATGTGGATTGGAAGTCATCCTTCATGGTTAGTGGGGCAAGACCAAAGGGTGCATGGGATAGTCTGAGCCAGAGGTTGAGTATGGCCACCCACACCCTGGCCTCCACTCTCATCAAGCCCGTCTCTAGTCGCAGGGTGGCATTAGAAACGCATTTAGGGACCTGCAAGGCCGATCTCAGAAACTTTGACTGAACCAGCTCTAATGGGGCAAAACTGGGGAAGGGGCCCAGCTAAGCCCCATACAAGAGTTGGGCTAATCACTTAGCTTCAAACTGCTTGAGCGCTGCCGGTGTGAAGTGGCCCCCTCTTGTCCTAAGATATTTAAGAATGGCAATTGAGCTCCCCTGCGCGGTGTTGGATACTTGATCCCCATCACTGTGGACTCAAACAATGATGGATCTGGACCAAACTCTACACAAATACTCAATATACCCAAATGTGAACACTGGTGGAGTTTGGGGAAAATAGAATCTTGACATGTGGAAGTTGTAGTTACTGGGATTTATAGTTCACCTACAATCACAGAGCATTCTGAACCCCACCAACGATAAAATTGGGTCAAACCTCCCACACAGAACCCCCATGTGGGCCACAGCAACGTATGGCAAGGGATGGCTAGTCTATATAAATAAAAATGTCATGTTCGTTTGTGGGATTAACATAACTCAAAAACCACTGGATGAATTGACACCAAATTTGGCAGCAAAACACATACTAATCCAATCTATGTCTTTCAAAAAAAAACTTTAGAAATGAAGGGGAAATAACTTAAAACTCCCCCAAAAGAAAAAATACCATACAGAGCATGCGCATAAGCCCCTCTCGCCAGCACACAAGAAGAATGATACACCAATCGTTGTGAGGGAAGAGAAGCCTAGCTCTGGAGTCTCCTTCCATGCACAAAGGCAGAATCCTCTTTCTTTTGGGGAGGGGAGGGATTGAGAGAAGGAAAGAGGGAAGGAAGGAGAAGGACTGGCCAACGGAAGGGTGAGGCAAACCCCGGCAGCAGCTGGAGCCACCTTAGTGCCTCCTTGAGGCCCAAGTGGCCACTAGGCAACCCTCCTCAAAGACCAGCGGATTGCAAGGCAAGCCTGGCTTCATGAGTGGCTGCCCACCATGAAGGAGCTGGCCTTACCTGCTTTGGGAGCCAAAGAGTGATGCCATACTACACATGATGCCCATCAGATGACTTCAGATTGTAATTCCCAGAATTTCTTATCATTGGGATGATGATTTCAGTGCCAATGGAGCAGTGAAACCAGTCCAGATGTTGATCTTGATCTTAAAAGAAGCAATCATATCCTTACGTTGAGTAATCTGAATAACCTCTCCAGTGTTCTTCATGGTTGGGCAGGATTACAATTGAATCTAAACTAAAATGCAAAGCTTCAAATAGTCCAACGTTCAGCAGCCAGGATGCTAACAGGAGTGGCACTCAGGGAGCATACAACTCCTCTGTTGTGCCAGCTCCACGGGCTGCCAATTTGCTACCGGGCACAGTTCAAAGTGCTGGCTTTAGCCTTTAAAGCCCTAAACGGTTCTGGCCCGACCTGCCTGTCCGAACGCACCTCCTCCTATGAACCAGTTAGGACATAAAGATCGTCTGGGGAAGCCCTGCTCTCGGTCCCGCCGGCTTCACAAGTACGCCTGGCGGGGACGAGAGACAGGGCCTTCTCAGTGGTGGCCCCTCGGCTGTGGAATGCCCTTCCTGCAGATATCAGATCGGCCCCCTCCCTATTGGCATTCCGGAGGAGAGTGAAGACCTGGATGTTCGAACAAGCATTCAATCAAGCAGTATAATTGAGTGTAATTGACTATTGGAAAACGGAAGAATGGATAATGAAACTGGATTCTGATTTTATTGATGAGATGTGATGGATTTGTTATATTGCTGTATTGGTATCTAATTAATTGCTATGCTACTATTTTTAAATGTCCAATGATTTCCTATTGTGTATACTGAATTATTGTTGTTAACCGCTCTGAGTCGCCTTAGGGCTGAGAAAGCGGTATACAAATAAAGTAAATAAATAAATAAACAAACAAATAAATAAATAAATAAAGTTGAAAATGGACTTTACCATTGATTTAGGACTGACTGCGTTCCCTCACTTCTCTCTGAAAATGTTCACGTCACGTCAGCATTATTTTAATTTTAATCTATTACATTTGGCCCGGCCATTGGTTTTTAAATGTTTGTATGTCACTGTTGATTGCTTATTGCTTATTTTTGTTTAGGTGATTTATATGAATTCTTTTGTTTTATTTGATATTTTGTGTATTGATGTATTGTGGGCTTGGCCTCATGTAAGCCGCACCGAGTCCCTTGGGGAGTTGGTAGCAGGGTACAAATAAAGTTTATTATTATATTATTATAGAAAAAACGAAATGCAACGATGCAGAATGGGGGACGCCTGGCTTGAGAGCAGAACATGTGAAAAAGATCTTGGAGTCCTTGTGGACAAGTTAAACATGAGCCAACAATGTGATGTGGCGGCAAAAAAAGCCAATGGGATTTTGGCCTGCATCAATAGGAGCATAGTGTCTAGATCTAGGGAAGTCATACTACCCCTCTATTTTGTTTTGGTTAGACCACACCTGGAATATTGTGTCCAATTATGGGCACCACAATTCAAGAGAGATATTGACAAGTTGGAATGTGTCCAGAGGAGGGCGACTAAAATGATCAAGGGTCTGGAGAACAAGCCCTATGAAGAGCGGCTTAAAGAGCGGGGCATGTTTAGCCTGAAGAAGAGAAAGAAATATGATAGCCATGTCTAAATATGTGAGGGGAAGTCATAGGGAGGAGGGAGTAAGCTTGTT